AGTTTCGCGGTCATCTGGAAGGAAAGGCTAAATTAGCCTCCAAAAAGCTTGGTGTGCTCAGCAAGGCGAGACGGTACTTCACTCCGGGCCACCGCTTGCAACTATATAAAGCGCAAATTCGGCCCCATATGGAGTACTGCTCTCACCTCTGGGCGGGAGCTCCCCAGTACCAGCTCCTTCCACTTGACCGTATTCAACGAAGAGCGGTTCGAATCGTCGACGACCAGTCACTTTCCGTGCGGCTTGATCCCTTGGCGTTGCGTAGAGATGTGGGATCTCTCTGCATCTTCTACCGCATTTACCATGGAGAGTGTTCAGAGGAGTTGTTCGGTCTAATACCTGCAGCTGAGTTTCATCATCGGACGTCAAGGCAAAATACAAAATACCATCCGTATCACCTCGACGTCCGTCGTTCCACAACAGAGCGTTTTCTAAGGCAGTTTTTGCCGCGCACCACCACTATGTGGAACCAGCTGCCCACAGAAGTATTTCCGAACCAATTCGACTTAGGGTCCTTCAAGAAAAGAGCGTACCAATTCCTGAAAGGCCGGCAACGCACTTGCGAGCCTTCTGTCATTGTGAGTGTCCATGGGCGGCGGTATCACTTAACATCAGGTGAGCCTCCTGCCCGTTTGCCTCCTATTACATAAAAAAAAAAAAAAAAAAAAAAAAAAAGAGAAACTTCTCAGAATCTCCGAAACAATATCAACCCCAATCAACAAGTAAAAAAATAAACTTACTTGATTACTACGAAGCGAAAAAGCAAAAACTAGTATGCGCCACTGACCGCTCGAACCAACATAATTCTTTCAAACACAACAACAAAAGACAAAACGCACTAACCACCCCAAGCCGGCTGGTCACCGTGGGGGCTGTCGACCACTCCCTTCCAGCTCAGAAAGGAGATGAGAAGATTCACAAAAACATTACAAGTTCCATCACTCCAAGCCGAATCGAAAATAAGATACTTTATATCGCCACTCTGAACTGTCTATCACTGAGAACACACGAAAAACTTACCGAGCTAGAGTTAGCTCTTTTAAAGATAAACTGGGACATATTAGGATTAAGCGAAATAAGAAGAATAGGCGAAAGCATTGAAGATCATAAAGAGTATATCTTCTATTATAAAGGCGAAATAAAAGGATCCCATGGAGTAGGCTTTATGGTTAAAAAATACTTACAGCCAAATATAGAAGAATTTAAGGGCATATCAGATAGAATAGCCATTCTTAATATAAATCTTCCAGGTTTCAAGGACAAATGGTCAATTATACAAATTTATGCACCTACTGAAAATCATGAAGAACATATCAAAGATAAGTTTTACAACCAATTGACTACAGTTTTACAAAATACTTTCAAAAACATCATAGTTATGGGCGATTTCAATGGAAGAATAGGACGCAGACGTCCTGGTGAAGAGAACATCATAGGCGACTTCGGCTTCGGCCCAAGGAGCAAAAATGGAAAACGAATGCTCAATCTCGCTCTCGAAAATAATTTAGCATTCATGAACAGTTTCTTCAAAAAAGTTACGGCGAAGAAGTGGACATGGATATCACCGGACGGACGCCACAAAAATGAAATCGACTACATCGGAACCAACAATAGGAAACCCTTCCAGAACGTTAGTGTATTAAATCAACTCAACTTCAACACCAATCATCGATTAGTAAGAGCCACCATAAAATGTATCGAACCAAAGAAAAGTAGAAATAAATACAATACAAAAACAAAGCTAATGATAGTAAAACAAATCCCTGACAATGAAGTCAAAAACCAGATAGAAGGAAAATATATCAATGAAGTAAATGAAATACTTGGAACTCTAAGTCGCAATCCCCCAAAAACTAACAAGAAACAAATTGGAAAAGAAACTCAAAAGCTTATGGAAGAAAGAAAACAGCTCTTAAAACTTGGAAAAAACAAGCAAAATCTAAAATTGATATCAGAAGTAAGTAAGAAAATTAGTAACAATATTAAGAAAGAAAGAACCAAAAGAAGAATAGAAGCACTTAATTACCACATAACCAAGACAGGAGGAGTTAAAAAAGCTCTAAAAGAACTCGTAGAAACAAAACAATGGATACCGAACATTAAGAACTACGTAGGCAAACAACAGACAAAAAGAAAAGATATATTGAAAACTGCAACAGACTTCTATAGAAACCTCTACTCACTAGAGACTGATAATACCTCACAGAATTCAGTAAATCTTGAACAAGACGAAGAAGAGGTACCTAAATTTCTCCTTTCAGAAACGGAGCATGCTATCAAAAGCCTAAAAAATGGAAAAGCGCCTGGACCAGATCACATAACTAATGAGATGATCAAAGTATCATCAGCAGCACCAGGGAACCTAAGAAAACTTACTGAACTATTCAACACCATACTAAAAACGGAATACATACCTTCTCAATGGACGAAGAACATAATTACACTGCTCCACAAAAAGGGTGACAGGAACACAATAGAAAACTATAGACCTATAAGCCTTACGTCCAACATGTATAAAGTTTTCTCCAAAATGATCCTGCGAAGAATAACGAAGGTAATGGATGAACAACAACCCATGGAACAAGCTGGATTCAGATCCGGATTCTCAACTGTAGATCATATACATGTTATAAAACAGCTAATACAAAAGTGCAAAGAATACGGAAAAGCACTATACATCGCTTTTGTAAAGCATTCGACTCTATAAAGCACGATTCCCTCTGGAGAGCCTTAATACAACAAGGTATACCAAAAAAATACATACGTATAATTAGTAATATATATACAAGTAGCACGGCTTATATCAAACTAGAGACAACGGGTGAAGAATTTCCTATAGCCAGGGGTGTGAGACAGGGCGATCCTTTGTCCCCAAAACTCTTCTCAGCCATTTTGGAGAGTTTATTTAGAAATTTGGAATGGGATAAGGTCGGCATAAACATAAACATAAACGGCAGACAACTGAACCACCTAAGATTCGCAGACGATTTAGTGATCATTTCAGATAACGCAAAGACGCTTCAAACTATGCTGCAACAGCTGACAGAAGCAAGCAAGATAGTTGGGCTTTCTATGAACAAATCTAAAACGAAAATAATGACAAATAGAGAAACTATTATGATACAAATAGGAGGAGATGCTATCGAATATGTAGACCACTACGTATATTTAGGGCAAATAATATCATTTCATGACCAAATGGATCTTGAGATAGAAAGAAGAGTGTCTAGCGCCTGGAAGAGATTTTGGTCACTCAAGGAAGTACTTAAAAGTAAAGACTTCCCAATAGTAGCTAAGAAAAAGGTGTTCAATCTATGTATCCTACCATGTGTTACATACGGCTGCGAGACTTGGGCTTTATCTCAGAAACATCTTCTAAAGTTGAGAACATGCCAAAGAGGAATGGAAAGAAGCATGGTGGGTGTAACACTGAGACATCGAAAAAGAGCAGAAGAGATCAGATCAACGACCAAAGTAGAAGACATTATAAAGAAAATAAGGCAGTTGAAATGGCGCTGGACTGGGCACATGACGAGAGATAGCAGGTTGAAATGGACAAAAATAATTACAGAATGGCAACCACGTGATGGAAAAAGGAAAAGAGGAAGACCGACCAAGAGATGGGCAGACGATATTAAGATAATAGGAGGCACAACTTGGACAAGAAGAGCTAATAACAGAAAAGAATGGAAACAGCTGGAAGAGGCCTACGTGTCACAGGACACGCTGATTACCAAAAACGGGTCATATGATGCATTAGATTAAGTTTTATTTTATTTATGTGTTAGAATTAAGTGTTTTTTTATGTAACTTAAATAATTGTATGGGTGTCAGCAATAAAGGCTAATCATCATCATCAGTGCATATGGTCAGATCAGTATTATCATATTTTATGTTCGTATGAAATTACATTTTGGTTTATAATCTGCATTATTTTATTACCAAGAAAAATAAGAATAAAACCGTGAATTCAATCTACTTTAGTTGATGTAGTGAATTACCATTATATTTTTAATAAAAATCGGGTATTTTTCTAAATAAGCATCAAGCCATTTGAAAGATTAATTTTTTGGGTAAGTACAAGGATATTATAAGTGAACGCTGGTGAAAATTATATTGTTTATTAAAAAAAATTACGATAATTAAAATACAACGCAACTATTTAAATCAATAATTACACAAATCACTTATGTATGTAACCTATCTTACAGAATAACAAACTATATTTTAACAAATAAGTCGATACAAAATAATATAAAACTAGTGCTATTAGTTTGTAATAGTCAATTCTTAAAACTACGCAGTATAAAAATACAACCTTATTGATATACCGAGATCATAGGAACATTTTAATTAATACTTTACAACTACCTATGTACAATCAAATGCGAAGTTATATGTCGGAGCAATGGCAGCTGACAATATTAAAGTCAAATTAGTCCAAACCGTTATATTGTATATTTAATTTGCCAATATGAATAGATCTACAAATTAACGACTATTTGATAGTCTGTACTAATTACATAGTCTTTATATTGGCAAATCTACTATGAACTAATTTGACTTTGATATTATTAAATTATAATGACAATGGCAGCTGACACAAGCGCCATTGCTCTGATACGTTTATTTAAATATATATAATTAAAAAAAACGTCCACCTGAGTCCAAACAGTGTTAAACGTTTCGTATAAATGAAGTTATACGACTATAATGTGATATGCAGAGGGCTTGGTTATACCCAAGTAACGTTCTGTACATCCGTATTTGGTCGGATCAATCAGTGTACAGATGAAATATTAATAGACAACAATTTTATATTTCTAATCTGTAAAAGTAAATGCTGTAAGGCAAAATCTTTCCTTTTATTCATGAGGGTGAAAGTGTCTTTAGAACCAATTTTCTTAATTTTTGCCGCATATATGAACGTAGTAACAGAACTATAGGCAAGGGGATTTGTGTCAATTTGTCAAAAACTTAATAGTATTAGAAGTCGTTAATTAATTATTTACAGCTGGAGCGTACTTGGTTGTGAGAGAACGTTGGTAGCGGTTCGTCCACGGCCACTTGCCTCTGAAAAATTAAAATTTATAATTTGTATTTGAAAGTTCGTAATTGATTTTGGTTAGAAAATTGGAACATTCAGTTTCGTTGTTATTTATAACATACAGACTAATATTATAAAACTAAAATTTGCAGAATCTTCGCATAAAATGTACACTAAAGGATCAGCGAATAGAATACCTTTTCATCGTCATTGTTCGTTTACATATAGTTGTTATCTATGTATATAAAATTAATCTCAATTTCCCTTGGTCATTGGATCAGGCGTGAAGGGATGGAACAATTTTGCTAATTCATTTTTTGTTATTAATCATTGTCAGGTTAGGGAAGAAAAGAAGGAAAATTTATAAATTTGTATATTAACATGTTTGATGTTGATAAGACAACGTGTGTCCGGTCAGCTAATTCTATGGCTCGGGTTTGTGGGATTTTTCTTATTTTAAAAGAAGGCTGAAACAGAACTTACCGCATAATCATTCGTACGTATCTTTGTGTCGTAGGTCGCGGATACGCCGGTTCCGGCGGAAGTTGTAAATCGAGGTAGTGGTGTGCGCTGGCGCATAATAAACCATCCAATGCGCGATGCAGCTCCGTGAATGTAGGGCGGGATCGGGGTCGCTCATTCCAACAGGATAGCATTAACTCATAGCTGTAAAGGATGAATTTCAACACGGACTCGACTAAATACATTTATTAACATAAATTCATTTTTCACTGGTCTTATAAGATGTATAAATCGGGTTCAAATTAATGAAGCTGTTGATCTTTTCCAACTCTTCAAAGAGGATGTTAGGAAATATTTAAAAAGGGGGGAAGACTTTGACTTTGTTTAGCAGTAACAATTTTTTTCTTTGGAATATTAAGTATTAATTGTCGTTTGTTTAATGTTAAATTTCAGTTTTTTTCTTGTCTATTAATGTAAGTACATTAAGTATGTTTTCTGTTTCATATAAGATATTATTTATCTATGTAATCTGTTTTGGCTTTGTATATTGTCTAAGTTAGCTGTTAGATTACTAATAAATAAATAAAACACCCATGTAAATGAAAGAGGCACTTACAGTTGAGCCGAACAATTAGAAGGTTTGGGCATGCGGTATCCGGCTCGAAGCAACCGAGGTAGTCGAGCAGCACCCACTGACGGATATGGAGCACCGCCCACGGTCACAATCTCCCACATTACCACACCGAATGACCAACTGGTAATAAAAATATTATTTATAGTATTTTGTACATTCTAATTCTACACAAAGTAATGTAAGGGAAGGATAACTTATTTATGGTATCCAGTGATTATGAAATCTTAAAAAAAATATATAAGTATATAAAAAAATAAACTTACACATCACTCAGCGTTGTATAAATCCTATGCGTTAGTGACTCTAAGGCCATCCATTTAACTGGCATCTTCCCGTTACCCTTCTGTTTATACTGGTTCTCTTGGTACACGTCTCTAGAAAGTCCAAAATCGGCTATTTTCAGGGTCCTATCCGCAGTTACCAGAATATTTCTCGCTGCCAGATCCCTGTGAACTACTCGATTCGAGGCCAGAAACTCCATGCCCATAGCGATTTGTCTGCAGAAGGAAAGGAGGTCTAAAACTGTTAGTTCCGTGTCGCAAATTCCCTGCAGGTCGTAAAGTCTGTTAATTACGAGCTGGGAATCCTTGGTTTTGATGTCTCGATAATCTTGTTCTTCATTGTTATTGTAGTTTGCATTGCGTCGAGTTACCATTAGGTCCCAGGAGCATCTGGAAAAATGCGTCAAAAAATGACGAGAAAAAACAAAACAGGGAAAATATAATTATGACCAGATAGTTTTAAATAAACCATATTGTTGAATGATTGTAAAAAAACTGCGTCTCAATTTATTATTAAAGAAAATAATCTAGATTAAGTTAAAGTATCTACAATTTTCTTAACCTCCATAGTAATAATGAAAATAATTAAAAAGTTTGGTCCCTGTGGCATTCGCTTTCCCTAGTCCCTTTAACGCTGGCAGCATTTCCTCACTGTATTGCGACACCTATTCGTTGAGCGAGGAAAGCATCAGCTCTGGGGTTACCGGTACTATCTACCAGGCGCCAACTTTAATCTATAATTCGCGCCTGTGCACATGAACCCCACGGCCCAAGAGTCTCTACTCCAAAGGAAAAAAAATTGAAGTTGGAGGAAAGACTTATATTTGAGCCGTTTATTATTTTCCGCCTGCTTTGCTGCCGTCCCAGCTTTTTTGCTTGTCCGAGGGAAATTGAATTTGATTTAGTTTAGGTTTTAATAGAGCAGTGTTGGTCTAGCGGCTTCAGCGTGCGACTCTCGTCCCTGAGGCCGTAGATCCGATCCCCGGCTGTGCACCAATGGAGTTTCTTTCTACTTGCGCATTTAACATTCGCTCGAACAGTGAGGGAAAACATCGTGTGGAAACCGGCTTGACTTAGACCCAAAAAGTCGACGGCGTGTGTCATGCACAGAAGTCTGAGCACCTACTTGCCTATTAGATTAAATATGATAATAAAACAGAATCTAAAGGCCCAGACCTAAAAAGAGATTAATTTACATAACGCGAAATCATTTACATTATGTAAATAAACAAGAAAATAAACGTTTGTTCTTATTCGTTACATAAACATAAAAATGTTATATTAGGATCTATTTACTTGCTATTGGCCGACAAACAATTAAGTCTAATATTCTAGTCACCAGGTATACACGTACCGAAGAAAAGTAAGCAAATCTCCCCTGCTGCAGTACTCCGCAATGATGAAGGGTTTCCGTCCCCTAAAGCAGCCCACTAGGCTCACAACGTGCGGATGACTCCCGACACTCTTCATCAATTCCATCTCAGCTCTGAACGACCTGATCTCTTCTACTGAGGGAAAATCTGTTCAACGCAAAATCTTGATAAAAAACTCAGCTTGTCTTTTCTAATATATTATCAGACTCGCAGAAATCTTTTTAGTATAATTATTTTTGAATACATATTTTCCCACTATGCTTATTTATTTACTCCGTGATACAAACTTTAGGGAATTTAAATTTAATACACTAACGGTGAACGCTTTTGATACTATAATTATCTACATTTAACAATGTTACAAAAAATTTGATTAGTTACGCATTTTTATATACCTATTCATCGTTCTTTAATCTATTTACTAATAAAAAATAATTAACTTTAAAGATCTTTAATAATAATAATAATATATTAAATGGCAAGAATAAGCGTAGTTTTCAATACAATAGCCTATAAGAAAACCAACAGTGCACCAGGATCATGAACCGATTAGCTTTAACTGTTACCAGTTACCAAAGATAATAATAACATTGTCTTTTGTTTCCATCACAAAACAGAAAAAAGACGAAAAGGCTGCAATAAGACCGCCTAGATAATAATAATAATAATAAAAGCAGTTTCTTCCAAATAGACATACATATATAATCTTAACATTAAAAATAATAAAAATACTACACTATGTTTATGATTCCTGGGTGATCGGGGTGCTTTAAATAATAGAGGATTTTATTTTTGATCTATATTAACAATAGATTATAAGCGAAATAATTACATGTTAATTGCTATGTAACGAATGAATCCAATGTAACCGTTGAAGAAAGTGACTATACTGTCAGGGCGTAATTCCTAAGATTTAGCTCATTGCTATGAAACAAATGAATGCAAAGTAACAGTTGAAGAGAGTGCCTGCGTCTGGCTGTACTCTCGGGGCGTAACTCCGACGATTAAGGAAATCGCCACGCTTATAAAACTAAGAAAGCCTGAGTGAGCAAAATGTACAGCCTTGGGTTGTACACTATGTGCTACCTACCTTTCAGCATTTTCACAGCGACAATCTTATCGTCAGGAGACAGGGTTCCTCTTCTCACAACTCCGAAAGCGCCTTCGCCAATAACCTCATGAAGGAGCAAACGTTCAGGCTTCACTTCCCACTGCTCCTCCGAACCGGATTCTACGCAACAGATGTCCAACTCGCCGTCTTTTAATACTTTTTCCCTAACGCCCTGTTATCAAATTGCTGAATTACTAAAAATACCATTATCATTCGATTACATATGTCTAACTGTCATTTACTCGTATTTACGCAAATTAAACTCATGTAGTTTACAAAAAAATATGACAAAACAATCTCAAAATTGGAATTTGTATTTAAAAAAACTGTAATTGCATTTTAATATTAAAAAAGCAGTATTATGTACAAAAAGTAACAAAAAGTAACAATTTCTAGACCATAAAATATTTTTTTTATTAAAATAAGTATGAAATATATTAACGTAAATAGAAGCGAATGTAAAAAGAAAGCCATGGATAATATATGATGAGATGGATAGATATGAAAGAGATATTTGGAAACAGCTGGAGGAGGTCTTTACCCGTGAAAGGGCTCCGATCAATGGTACTGAAGGAAGTTAGGATATCGAAACAAGAAAACATAACAAAGCTAAACTTTTTTTCAACATTTTTAAAGATTGGAATAAACAGGCTTTATTAATTACCGGAAAATACATGTTCCTTTTCTTAATGTCGCGCTGTCGCTTCCACCACACAAAAAAAGTTGCAATTATTGTTGATATCACGATAACTTCAGCCCATGCGCCAATCAACAAACTCACTGACGCCGACTCTTCAACCACTGAAACAATATAATTCTAAAAATCTATTGCCTATATTCTACTACGGTAGCTAAAGTATTATAGGTTCATATGTTCGTTACAATTTAAACCGAAAGAATTGTTAATTAAACGATTTTCAGTGCACACATTTTAATAAAAATTCATTACGGCATTTGCTCCTTTCTACAACAGTTGTTTACTAATGAACATTCGTGACAACTGTACATAATTTATCAAATTGGAAAACGTAAACTGCTTTTAATTAACATTGTTGGACAGATAGAAACAGCGTTTATAGGTTTATCTTAATTTTGATAAAAAATTTAATCGTACTTATTACATTGTTTTAATTGTCCGTGCAGGTTGATATTAAAGCATTATGTGTGTTCGAAAATCGTATATTTTCTAACGCCATAATTTATCAAAAGTTGGTACAATAATAAATAACATATATTATCAAGATATTTAGTCAAGGCTGGCTGAATTGTACTTTTTAAAATAGTTTAAAAAGTGTTATAAAATAATGTAAATCATACTCACGCGGAAATATACTTCTCTGGAAGGTAACAGCGTGACCAATATCGTTAATCGCATCTACAGTTACATTATAATATCCTCTGCCGGTTACATTCGTAAACTTTGCTTCAGATGACAACTGAAAGTTTAAATTAAAAAAGTATATAATTTTTTTGTAAATGTTAATATATCTTCTTACTATAATGTAAGTATAATATCAGTTCTATCAGAAGAAAAATAAAATATAAATTGATATTTTTTTAAATAAATTTTTAAACTTGAATAACTCAAAAATAGTTCACTTTTGCATTATGCATATGTACCCCTATAGGGAATAAAGCGAATTTATAATAGCTCTGTATAGATGCATAATAGAATGTGATTTATTAAAGTGTATTATAATCCATTGCAACATTGAAACTGAATTTCCAGAATTAATGGATCTATTGACAAATCCCTCGGCTATTTTCACACACAAGCACTACGATGCATTGGTGCAATTGGTATTATCAACACTAAATATTATTGGGATTTGAGTATCAACAATTTCTTTAAAAAATACATTCCATTTGATTATTTTTTAGGCAGTCTTCTGTGTCTGATGGGGTGTGTGTGTCATTTTATTATATACTATAGATTTACGATCTACGTCCGCTGTTATTAATATAATTTTTTTAAATGAAAAACCCATATTATAAACTTAAAACAATACGACTATATTCTCACAGACTAACAGTCTGCAAAGGTAAGATTCAGAGCCAAAACTTACCGTGAACTACTACATATATATTATATCCTTATGTTAAACCCAACATAAGAGAGTTCACAGGCTTATACTATCTTAACACTTCATGATTTACTTATTTGTACATTTGTACTGTTTTTTCAATTATCTCAATAATTTCTAGAAAAATCAAATGTGTGATGAATTATATATCACAGTGGTCTAAGTACTACCGGCATTTATTCTAATAATTTTCCTTTGAAAATCTTGATAAGTATTACAAAATAATACTTACATTGTACACGTTTATAGTGAATACTTTGTCTGCTCTAAGTGTAACATTGTAGTAAGAGGGAAGGTGCTTCGGTTGCCTCCATTTGACACTAACAAGCCAGGAATCACCGTTTTCTTTAGCCGTTAATTTTACAATTTCCGGTTTTTCAGGCACTGTGGCGGAGAAAATACATTACTTGCTTTCGTAGTAATTGTGTATAGCAATATATATGTTAAAGTAGAAAGACGTTTCAAAAATATTACATTAAAGTGCAGAAGGAAGTATAATTAGATATGTTCAAAAGAGAACAAAGTGTAAGTAATTTATACATATATAAAAATCGTGTCACAATTGTAACAAAAGTCATCCGAAACGGCTAATTGTATGAAGATTTTTGTGTATGATGTCTGAGAATAGAAAATATTTTTTTATATAACGTGGTTGCACGATCTAATTTTTTTTCTTGCCGGTAAAAAATACATATAACTTATCTCTCTTCTACCACAACCCCTATTTTAATGGCGATATTAATACTGTAACATTCCTTATATGCCAAAACAATGTTTGTATTGTTAAATGCATAATGAAGAACTTTCAATTCTGTATCGGCGTAAAATATAACATGTATAAAAAGTACAGCGCCTCGGGCGCAAAACTGAACATTATATGAAGGTTGCGCTTGTTTCAAACTCATGGTAAAGCTAATAAAATTCATGTATTTATTTTTTTCGTAATCCTACAGCCTACATAAATTATATATAACAAAAATCAATCATACTAAAGATATAACCAATGATGGAATACATAATAATATATACAAAAAGGGTTCTAACATTTACGAAAGGAAAACACCAATAAAAATTACTAAATACATTTAACTAAGTAATAAATAATTTGTCTGTATAGTGTGAAAGTTATTTGGTGCAATGGATATTCTTAATACTTCTTTTAAGCATGATCCGCGATAGCTCAAACAAGTCCAGGCTTAAATAGTGGTCGTTGTATGTCCAGGCTGCGCGATACAAAACTGAGGTTTTTTTTGATTGACATTAATTATGAAGTGAAACAAAGCACGATTACGAGTCAGTCAGTAATGTATCAAATATTCTCAGATACTCACAATACTTGCATCCCGGTAGGTCATAACATGACGGAGTTTGATATTGAAATTTCGTAGTTCCATATTTCCCCTTCACTAGTATAGTGCATTTGTCATCCAGCGGCACGGTTGCTATTAAAGATTTGTTCTTGTCTGGCTAGAATAATAAACAATATATTTTTTAACCAATAGATCGTATGATTTCTAACGATTGGATATAACACATTATGGTTTTATGCAAATTTACTGATATAACGATTATAACTTAAGAGGTCGCACAAAATCTTGCCCACGCTGTGGAAACTACGGACGGGAGTTATCTGTCATATATTTACGAGCTATAAGAACGACGAGGACAAAACCATTTGACTTGAAAAAGATACAGGGGATGTAGATTTTTTCGGATTTCAATAAGAATAACTAAAAAAGTCAATTTCTTATAAGAACGCAAAATAAATTCTAACTCTGCAGGGGTTGAGCTTAGAGACCTCCTGTAGAACAATTTTTTGCAGCTGATGACCTCATGTATCCCATATTTGCGTTTGATCCACGACTTTTTGGCCACCCTGTATATTATTATCACTACACTCACCCCTATACTTCTATGCAATACGTTCCCAAGTGTCTTACTGTTGCAACGATTGTAAACCTCGAAGCAGGAATCACTTGCTAAAAAAAATTTAAATTAATTTTAGTGGTTTCCACAAAATAAATGGAAAGAAGGTATAATTTTTGGTACAAATACTCACGATCCGTCGCATTCCATGTTAATTTCACGTCAAGATCCGCCGTAGCATTATCAAATTTGTCAAATAAAAATGTATAATTAACAACGTAATTCCTTTCCTCAACGTCAGCAACTGTGTCATTCCAGGCTTCTAATATGGGACTCTTCTTCCAAATAGAGGGACTCCCGGTATCATTTAGCAGTGCCGACCAAAGTGTAAAAGCCCCAGGCGGTGTATAAATAGACCCAATTTCTCTTGCAGGTTCCATCGCATTGAATATAAACTAAAAACGGATTTATTTATTTATTGCACCAACAAAGTAGACACTGATACATGCATGTAACACAAACACAAGCCAAGTGCTACCCCAATTAAAGGCGCATACAACATTCTAATTACTATGAAGCTTAAACACTAAAAAATAATTAAATCAAGATAAAATAAAATAAAAACATTACAAAATTAATTAAATATTCCGCATAAAATCCTAATTACTAATCAGTTGAGTCGCTACCTTTTTGAGAATTGATGAGGAGTTTGAAAAAATATCTCCTAGTGGGAGTGCCATGCTGTTGCCTTCGGGCTTCAGCCAAATGGGCAGGCACGACCGGGGCAGTACCACTGTCTCTCAGAAAACCGGCGTGAAGTGATGCAATAAGTTCACCTTATTGTACTCGCGTTTCGTGCGGTGAGAGAGACTCCCGGAGCCCACCGTGGCTGCGCGTAGACTGCGATGACCATCCGCGATTCTATGCATGCCTGTATAGGTCCCATAGCGGAAATACCGAAACTGACCGACTCATTGAGCACATCCCAAATGGCTACAGATTCCCTGCTCGAAAGGGTTCCTACCGCTGAAATCGTGATACTTGGCGATTTTAACGCCGATTGGCTCGGCTCAGAAACCACCGATCATGCGGGAAGATCCTTTCACGACTTTGCTTTAGCTTATGACTTGACGCAAATGGTCCCTGCGATTACGCGAATACCAGATGTGGATGGTCATAAACCCTCTTTGTTGGACCTTCTGTGACTTCAATCCGGAGAACTACCAAGTCTCTGTTGAACCGCCATTGGGTTCATCAGATCATTTTGGTCGGAGCATTGTGCCGTTCACGCGCCCTCTTCGGCCTAGCTTCACGGGCTGTCCCGTGTGGCACTATAAGTCAGCAGATTGGGATGGGATGCGGTCTTTTTGCGTCCTACCCTTGGGGGCCCATTTGCTTTTCGTCGAGTACTCCAGATGCCGTCGCTGACTCTGTCGCCGAGGTGGTCCTGCAGGGTATGGAACTCTTTATTCCATTCTCTGCGGTGCCGGTCGGTGGCAAGTCCAGCTTAGTTTAGGCGTTCCTGCAAAGCGGCTTTGCGCCGTAAGCGTGAATGCTTTAAAGCCTGGGCAGAAGCGGTGACATCCTGTGATGTGACTATCGGCGAACGTAAAAAAGCATACAATTCAGCCTCCAGGTCCTTCAAGCGAGAGATCGCTAAAGCAAAGTCAGACACCTTGCGATTTGGTGAGAAATTGGCCCACCTCCCTTCGGGAATCGAGCCTTCTGGTCTCTTGCCAAAGCTGTCCAAGGGAATTTCTGTCAGCCCTCAATTCCACCACTGCATAGGGAGGATGACTCACTTGCCCATACCGCGAAAGAGAAGGCCGATCTTCTAGGCTGTCTCTTGCTCGAATCGGATGATCAAGGAAGGAACCACCACATTATTGCGGTGTGATACTACGATGCCAAGTTATATTCCGGCAACGTGCTATCCGTAAAGCTTTGTCTTCCTTGGATCATAAGTCGAGCGGGCCTGATGGCATCCCTCAATTGTGCTGCGTACTTGTGCTCCTGAGTTGGCTCCGGTCCTAAGCCTTTTCCGGTACCTTTACACGCTCGGCACTGTTCCGAAGTGCTGGAAGATCGCTTCGATAATCCGATCCCTAAAAAGGCGATCGCTCTACCACTTGCCCAATACTATAACCTCCTTGTTCTCCAAAATATGGAAACCATTATTAACAGCAGCTCTTGAGGTATCTAGAGGGCCACCAGCTGATTAGCGATTCTCAGTACGGCTTCCGTCGTGGTCGCTCGGCTGGTGACCTCTATACCTTACACATAGGTGGGCAGAGGAATTGAGCCAAGGGGAGGCGCTGGCGGTAAGTTTGGACATAGCGAAAGCCTTCGATCGGGTGTGGCAAAGCACTGCTCTCAAGCTTCCAGCCTATGGGCTCCTGAGAAATTATGAACTGGATTTCCAGCTTTCTCGCTGATCGAGATCAAAGTCGTCATCACGGAGCATGTCCGACCTGAAACCTCTGAATGCTGGTGTCCCACAAGGCTGTGTCCTATCCCCGACCCTGTTTATTCTGCATATCAATGATATGTTGCAGCTTAGAACATTCATTGTATGCGGACGACAACTGGGGATACTTTTTAACTGGCGGGCAGGTATTTCTCGGGCTTTGTCATAGTACCGGAAACTTGTGTCTAAGTCGAAACTTTCTACGTGGATCTCGGACTGGGGTAGACTAAATCTAGTCCAATTTAACCCAAAAGAACAGTTGCGTTTCCGCTAAAAAACTCCTTTGTCGCTACCCCTCTTTGAAGAATCTCCTTAAAGCCTCAGCTAACATCGGAATACTGGGCGTTGACATATCGAATAACGTTCAGTTTCCGGTCATCTGGAAGGAAAGGCTAAATTAGCCTCCAAAAAGCTTGGTGTGCTCAGCAAGGCGAGACGGTACTTCACTCGGGCCACGCTTGCAACTATATAAACCAAATTCGGCCCCATATGGAGTACTGCTCTCACCTCTGGGCGGAGCTCCCCAGTACCAGCTCCTTCCACTTGACCGTATTCAACGAAGAGCGGTTCGAATCGTCGACGACCAGTCACTTTCCGTGCGGCTTGATCCCTGGCGTTGCGTAGAGATGTGGGATCTCTCTATCTTCTACCGCATTTACCATGGAGAGTGTTCAGAGGAGTTGTTCGGTCTAATACCTGACTGAGTTTCATATCGGACGTCAAGGCAAAATACAAAATACCATCCGTATCACCTCACGTCCGTCGTTCCAAACAGAGCGTTTTCTAAGGCAGTTTTTGCCGCGCACCACACTATTGGAACATGCCCACAAAGTATTTCGAACAATTCGACTTAGGGTCCTTCAAGAAAAGAGTACCAATTCCTGAAAGGCCGGCAACGCACTTGCGAGCCTTCTGGCATTTAGTGTCCATGGCGGCGGTATCATAAATCAGGTGAGCCTCCGTTTGCTAAAAAAAAAAAAAAATATCTATCCCCCCCCCTCAACTGCGATCCAATACCACCATCAATTTCAGCGTTATGAATTGAATTATAACTCCTTAAAGATCTATTTAATGGAGCATTCTGACCCAGATTCGATTTTGCAAACTTAATTCTAAAAGGAGGCTTTGTAAATCGTTGCAGCTTTTTAGGAATAGAGATGTTTACTCTGGACAATTCATCAAGATTAAATAATATATGTGGCAAATTTAACAATTATGTGAAGTTTAAAAGTACCTTTGTTTTATTAACTAGCCCATAACCTCAATTCTTTATTATAACTTCTTTTGTAAACTTCTTCAACTGATATAAACGCGAATTTAATACAGTAGTTTCTCGCTTATCCATACAGTCTATTTACATAAGTTTTACTTCAATGTGTAGTATACGTGTAAACCACAGACAACATTAAATCTCTACAACTTTTATCTAAAAGATCTTATTGTAATAAGTCTAGTCTCTAGGGGGCCTCATAGCCTAGCGGTCTTATTAAGTGGCAGCTAGGTGAGGGGTACCGGGTTCGATTCCCGGTTCGAGGGCAAGTTTTAATTTAATTTAAATTTGTTCTCGGCCTTTGGGAGGGTTGTGCGGTACCGGGCGAGAGCTTAAACCGTACATGGAGGACACGGTCGAATTTCTTAGACAAGCACGAATTATAAAATATCCTATACTTGACGCTGGCTAATGCACAAATCGTGCCAGAGCCATTAAAAAAAGAAAAAAGAAAGAAAGAAGTCTAGTCTATGAAATGAATTTATGTCAACTGCCGTGCGATTCTGTTAACCCGTGAGTTTACCTTGCACTATTTTCATTTTTGTAATCTCATGGTATTCAGTTAAGCAATTTCACATTACGTCTTGACAAGCGGAGGGAGCTTGTAGTTTATTGTTTATGAGAATGTCAAATCTTAAAATGACTGCTTCACGACTGATTTGAGCGACCGCCGCGCGACCGCCGCGGCGAAAAGCGCTGTGAGAGTCGAAAAGTGAGTTACAGAATCGCAAGGCTGAAGCGTAGCTTGGTATGCTACATAGGCTCGCGGATTTAACGACGTCAAATCGGTGGTAGCATATAGCCTTCGATAAATAGACTTTCCAACACAAAATAATATTTAATTCGTACCAGTAAACACAAAAACGAAACAAAAACTTCAGTTATACAAAATTAAAAATAAATTGCAATCAAAACGACGCAATAATAATCATATGGACTTATGATGACCGCACGTATAGACGATGTAGACATATAAAGTAGTAAACAAATGTGTATTTCCTGTTGTTTGATTGATTCGGTTGTTTTGACAGTTGTTCAAGACGCACTACGCAGTCAATGAATCTATTTTGGTTTCACCGTCCCATTTTGCACTCAGGATAAAGCTATGTATTTAATTGGAGGTTTGGGGGAATGTTTGCCTAGTGGCTTCAGTGAGCGACTCTCATCCCTGAAGCCGTAGGTTCGATCTGCTGTGCACCAATAAACTTTCTTTCGTAACATTCGTTCGACGAAGAAAAACATCGTGAGGAAACCCGCTTGCCTTAGATATAAATAGTCGACAACGTGTGTCAGGCACAGGAGGTTGATCCTTAGATACCTACTTTCCTATGAGATTGACAACTGATGATCATGAAACAGATATAGAAATCTGAGGCCTAGACCTAAATATGAGGAAGCGCCACTGTTTTTTTTAATTGAAAAAAAAAACCGAGGAAAACACGCGTTCGACTTGTTGGCAACAAAGACAGCGTGGGTGATGACTTGCGGTTCAATCTATGGCCCACAGGTGTCAATTGTGTATAAACGATTCATATGTTAGGACTCAGAAGTCCAACCTGGGCTGCCGTACGAGAGAAATGACATAAAGGTAAGATGACACCCGAGTTATGTATCATAACTTTAGTTAATTAGGAATAAAAAGTGATTCATAGCAAATATTAACGATTATTATCCACTTACATCCAATAAATTCTACAATATTT